TTTTTTTTAAATAAATAAATACACCCTGTTTACTATAGGGGGATTATTTTTGATTTTGAGTATGTGAATTCTTTCTTAATTCAGAGAGCTACGAAATGCATCGGAAATTAATCTGATCCCACTGACCAGACAGTTTTAACATTAAAAGCTTGTTTCAGCCTTTAGTTAACCTCTGGCTGACAATCTCAAAAAAAAAGTTCACATCGGTGAAAGTTCTCTTCATGAAACTGACAACATATTGTCCCTTTTATATCTCCTAATGGAAGAAGCCTCAAGAAGTGCTTAGATTACCAAGAACATTAAAATGTATACATCTTTTAAAGATATTAAAATGTAAACATTTAGAGGCGTTTAAAATCACAATGCTCAATCAAGCACCTTTTTATCTGATAGCAATTAATAGTCATGTGCCACACAGAGCATCCTCCCAGTACTGTAGAACAAATGCACGTAGCTGCTTTTTGTCCTTCCCAGACTGAATCCATGGCAGAGGACGCAAAGGTTAGAAAACACTTACAAAATTCAAATCAATAGCCTGATGGTCATAGAGGTTACTTGAATGGTTGAATGACAGATCAGTGGAGTATGCAACACAGTCAGATGAAGTTTTCAAACAAAAAACAGAAGAATCAAAAAGGTCAAGGTTTTACCCAAACCCTTACACAGAGTGCCAACAAAAGCCTCCCTACCATCAAATACACCCATTCACTTACTCCATCCATCGAATAATTGGCATTTCATGTTCTAATCCTCTTGAAGGCTGATTTTGACTCACCATAAGATTGTTTGGAGCTGGTCTTTCTTTGGGTTGCTTCCTCATACTGTGGGGACAAAAGCAGAAGAGGTCATTATATGTGATTTTGCATGTAGTAATTAATCATCCTCTGTTAATTCAAAAGGATGAATGCAAAAGAAGCATGTCAGAACTCCTTAAGATACGATTGTGGAGGTCAAACCTTGACTTACATGCTTTGCTCATCAAAAGTGGACTGAAATAATTTCTCTTGACTCATTTAAGGACTTTTTCTACTCAATATTAAAATAGCAAGGCTTTATGAGTTAAAGCTTCAATGATACTTGGTATGTATGTGATATGGTGCTAGTCAAAAGATTTACACTAACAGTATGTTTTTCATCAAATATTAGACAATTTATCTGCCAATATATTGAAAGCATGAATCTAACAATAACACTGGAGAGCAACTATGTAAGTCTTTATATAGGCTTTTAAAGAACTGATATAACATGTAATTTGTCATTTTACTGTTTCAACTTCGGTACTCGTAGTCAGGGTTTTTGTGCACAAAACTATTTAGTTTACCTGCTTTTTATTCACCTTCTCTCTGACCATTTAAATGGATCGAAATTAAATGGGCCATGTTTTGGTTCTGTGTTTTTAAGGCTTCTTATAGTGCATAGACAGTGTCTATGCATGTGCAATGAGTGTTCAATATACAGTGCCTATAAAAAAAAGTATTCATACCCCTTCATTTTTTTTCCACATTTTGTTATGTTGCAGCCTTATGTTAAACTACTTTAAATAACTTTTTTTCCCACATCAATCTACACTCCATACACTATAATGACCAATCAAAAAACAGGTTTGTAACAACTTTGCAAATTTATTAGAAATAAAAGAAACTGAAACGATTCCATTGCATAAGTATTCATACTCTTATCTGGTACAGTTGAAATTTAGCTCAGGAGCATTCATATCGCTTGTAGATGTTACTACACTTCGAGTGGAGTTAACCTGTGGCAAATTCATTTGAATGAGTATGATTTGGAAAGGCACATACCTCTCAACAAAAGGTCTAATAGCTGAAAATGCGAATCAGAGCAAAAACCAAGCCCTGAGGTCAAAAGAACTGCCTGTAGAGCTCAGAGACAGGATTGCGCCAAGCCACACATATGGAGAAGAGTTCAGAAAAAATTCTGCTGCATTGAAGGTTCACAGAAGCATGTAGCCTTTATTATCCATAATTGAAGAAGTTTGAAACAACCAGGACTCTTCCTAAAGCTGGCCTCCTGGCCAAACTGAGCAATCGATGGAGAAAGGTTTTGGTTTGACTGGTGACCAAGAAGCTGATGGTCACTCTAGTTGAGCTCCATGAAGTAATTGCCAAATGCAGATGTGCAAACCTTGTCGCATCATATCAAAAAGACTTGAGGTCGTAAAGGTGCTTCAACTAAGTACTGCGTTAAGGGTATTGCAAGTATACCCTTAATACTTATGCAATGTACTTATTTCAGTTTTTTAATTTTAATAAATTTGCAAAGTTGTCACAAATCTGTTTTTTTTTTTTTGCTTTGTCATTACGGTGTATGGAGTGTAGACTGTTTAAAAAGTTATTTAAAGCAGTTTAACAAAAGGCTGCAACATAAAAAACGTGAAAAAAATGAATACTTTTTATAGGCACTGTATTTTGCACTGCACATCCCCTTCAATACCAAGTTCACAAAACAATCCATGTTGAAATGTGCCACTGAAACTGTTAAGGTCAGAGTGAAGTGATCAGGGACCTTGTGAAAAACAAACTTTAGTCACTCCGCTTGAAAGCATATCAAAAGACTTTATAGCACCAGGTGTTACACACAGCCAGAAACAGCACAAGATCTGACAAATTCAGGGTTCCCACTCTTTAATGAACACCAGATTCAAGGACTTTTTCCAAGTACCTGCCATTTCCTCAAACACCAACTTTAATCATGTTACAGTATACATGGTGTACCTGAAGGCCTTTATAATAACACATCGAGTATAATATTTAATATGTAAACATGTATTTTTGTAAGCTCAATATAGAAATGTTAATGCTTCCATATGCAATATTGATATGTCGGTAAAGAACACTGGCTTTTATGAGTTAATTTATCATGCATCCAAACTCTTCATTAGGTGACAATACATATGCATTAGTCTGTAATAGATTTTAACACACTATGCATCATACACTTGCTGAATTTTAAACAGTAACAGAGGAAAAGCTGGGCATCAAACACTAATTGACTCAGCATCACAAACTACCAGACAGAAGTTGTTCAGATTCAGGCAGAAACACATGTCTTGTGAAAAATATAAACAATGTGTTGGCTCACAATATGAAACATGTATGTTACAGTATACATGGTGTACCTTGTAAAAAACATGTATTTTTGTAAGCTCAATATAGAAATGTTAATGCTTCCATATGCAATATTGATATGTCGGTAAAGAACACTGGCTTTTATGAGTTAATTTATCATGCATCCAAACTCTTCATTAGGTGACAATACATATGCATTAGTCTGTAATAGATTTTAACACACTATGCATCATACACTTGCTGAATTTTAAACAGTAACAGAGGAAAAGCTGGGCATCAAACACTAATTGACTCAGCATCACAAACTACCAGACAGAAGTTGTTCAGATTCAGGCAGAAACACATGTCTTGTGAAAAATATAAACAATGTGTTGGCTCACAATATGAAACATGTTTGATTTCCTTAGAGTCAGACTGAACGGACCCAAAGTCTGAAGCTAAAATAATAGAGTCTGTGACTGTGACCATCATACAAGATGTAGAAGTCGGCAAAAGTCATGTAGTGTATTCCAGCCCTAAGTTTAAGTACTAAAATAACTTAAACTAAATAAACTCAAACTAATAAATAAAAATAAAAGAATAAAGACTAAAAATGACAACAAAATGTCTAAAATTAAAATGAAAACAGAAAATATAAAAATAAAATCTAATTCAAAATCTTAACAAAAACTATAATAGTATATCAATGATTCTAAAATAACACTGGTCTGTATTACAGACTCACTTCAGTACCCAGGCCACAAACTGCTGATTTATATGACAAGCACTCCAGAATTGTGGATGTCGTGCCCATGTGGTTGTCAAGAACATCAGATGCTCTTCAAAATTCATTAAGAAAGTCTAAGTTTGTGGGTTTTCCAACTGACAGAGCATTCAATTACTTTCAAGAACTTTCCAGTTCTTGAATCTGTGTCCAAAAATACTTTCAAGAGCAAGGAAACGCTGCAAATTTTCCCTCATTGTGCTCTTATAATTCTTCGGGACTTGCAAACAATGGCATCTACTATCTCTATCGTACTACACTGTGACTGTGCAGGTCAAATTTCTAACCACAGATTAGATGTAAATCAGATCACATGTTTCTGTATTTAAACAGTAATCCATATTTCGTAATAAATGCTTTCCACTAATATATCTAGTATATCTTCTACACCATCTTTATCTTCAGATCCTCTTTATCGTTGTACTTTTGAGGCTAATATAACTATATCTTAAAATGATGAAAGGAGAGGTAAGTAATTATCAATTCTCCTTGGCACAGAGCACACCTAAGTGCAAGTAAATTAGTCAAGCTGACCCAGATAAGAAATGGGAGGGATTAGAGGGACAGAGCGGCCTACAGGGGGGCCCATTTGGACCATGATGAATGACACACACTCAGAGCAGGCTAATAATAGAAAAGGATGTTGGAAGAGCAGAGCCAGGCAGGGGTGGCACTAGTGAGCCAGGTGACCTGTTTGTGTAAATAAAGTGTGTTGCAGGTAAACATCCGCTGCTGAACAAATCCCAAAACATCTGGCTTCACCCACCAAGGCCACAGGCCCAGTGTGCCAGACAAACCATAAAAGAGGTTGTGGGGAATTCTGGTTTCTTGGGGCATGAACTGTGGAAGGCAAATTTGAGTGCGGATGCGTTTGAGAAAGCAAGGTCAGCAAACAAGGGACAGATGTTGGGTAAATATTTACTGTCGTGTATAGCTAGTCTAACTATTGTACTGTCGGGTCTGTAGACCCAGGAAAGGCTATCGTGTGTTAGACCACTACATGTTACGTGTTTTATACATGACTTGTTGGAGTCGCCATGACTTTTAAAATGTTTTTGAAAGAAAGGCAATGCTGCATTTATTTGATCAAAAATACAGCAAACAGTAATTTTGGGAAATATTATTACAATTTAAATAACTTTTCTTTTATTATATATTTCAATGATGGCAAAGCTGAATTTTCAGCATCATTACTCCAGTCTTCACATATTTACATATCCCTATGTTTCAAAGTGGGGATTTGAACAATAAATCCTTATAATTTCTTGGCATGAATGCATAAATTTCAGCTATCACTTTATTACATAATATTGGCAATATATACATGTCACAGTCAGACATTTGGCAGCTGTGATTAGCTCTAGTATGTTTCAATGTCCTGAATGTATTAATTTTTTTATTTAATAAAATGTTTTATAGTTTGTGTTGTGGCTTACCAATGCAAATTCTTTACACCATGATAAGGATTTATTTATTTATGAGAGGTAAAAGAGAAGAAACAGGTGTTCGGTTGATATTGGAAACACTCACCATTGTGTAATGAAGTGGACAAATTTCTCACTGAACTGACCAATTGGAAGCACCGGAGGATCCTAAAAAATAAACAAATAAATATACATTGTCAAAATCATTATTTACAAAAATATCCACAATATAGAATAAAAATATCAACACAATGTTTATACTTTACAGAAAAATCTATGGTGTATAATTCATAGATTTTGTGTGGCCTTGACTAGTTTGCAGAAGGGTTACAGTCCATAATGAGGTATTTTATGTGCGGACATTCAAAAGCAGCCGTGTATATTAAATTTTGGAAGCACCTGAACCCCTCTTTTGTTAGACAGTGGAAGATTGCTGACGCACAGAACATTGGAGAAAAAAAAGCTTACACTCCCAGAGCTGAACATTTAGTTACGACCTCAACCTCCAAATAATGTTAACAGGGTAAGGAAATTAAATCAGATACTTCTAAAGCACAGACACACTGAAACCAAATGGAACAAGTGAAAAAAAGTCAAATTCCAGATCTAATTCTAATTGTGTAAATAGGAACCTTACCACTGAGATCAAACTGAGACATATTCAGTCTAATATAACTTTCATCAGAATACTGGAGCCCCTGTTTTATCTAAGGCTAGAGAAGAAAGACTAAATGTGGCCTGTTTCAGAGAAAAGATTATTTGTATTCCAAAAATAACTATAATTTGAATTATTATGACCTCAGGGGAAAGAATTGATGACATCAATACAGAAGCCTTGATGTTAAAGACAGAATTGAGATTCAAGGTGTTTGAGAAGGACACCTTCTCAAACAGGATGCACTGGAAGGGAAAGTGAATAGGATTTCTTTTAGGAAATGTCTGTTTGAGAGTGACAAAGAGATGAGGAAACTGCTTTAACAGCCAGTACGAATTAAATTAAACTTTTTTTTTTTTTTTTGCACAATACAAGCAATCCTGTTGCGGTTTGAAAACACACACGTATACACAAGGATAGCAGGATGATAAAAAAGGAATTATCTGATCCAAGGTTTTGGCGGTACTAAAAAGGTTGCATATGCAACAAAAAACAGAAATCAAGTTGTTATTGGAGACAGTCTAGAAATATTTGTGCATTAGACGTAATGTCTGAATAACTCTTATGAATGTCTATTTAATGACTTAATGACTATTTAATAACTCAGGAGTTAGTGGTTTGAATCAGATTCACTAAGTGATTCATTCAGAGTCGTTACTGAGTTCATAACTGACTCCCTCACTGAACGAATCATTTATCAGTTACATTTTACAAAACGAAACTGATAAATGATTCAAAATGAAGAATTGTTACTGTGAAGTATTCTTTAGGTTCTTGAGACTTACATTATTACTAACTTGTTCATATACGACAACACATAATTAAAGATACATGTCATTTCAAAATTTGGTATTCGAAAAAAATTTCAATAAAATATTTTACAAAACAAATGTTATTTTTTAACATATGAGGTCCGATTTTCAAGTTGAATAAACTGTAATGGAATGTTTTTATGCCCACATTAGAACTATAATCAACATTTATTTTCCCCAAACAGACAGAAATATTCCTTCAAAAAGAGTGATACTTAAATGGCACCAACACAATCAAGATAAAACTGGAACTAATTTATACTAAATTCAACTAGAAAAACATATGTGTCACGGTCGGTAGTAGTGTGAGGAGCGCGGAACGAGGAGACCAGGAGACCAGGAGTACTAAACAAAGGGATTTATTCTTGTCACAGGGAATCACACGTAGCACGAGGAGAAGACATCAACATACAATTCCAGACAAGGGAGAACTGAACGGGCTAGAACTAAATAGGGTAGATAACGAGGGGCAGACAGGTGATGGGGATAACTAATAACAAGGAACAGGTGATACTAATAATGTGAAAAGGAACTGGAAGGACCAAATAAGGAAAACAGGAACTCAACGGGAACATACATGTGACAATATGAACAGAATGTAAAATGTATTTTATAACTGTTAATATAATCATTGTGTGGTCTATATAATGTACTAAAACCATCCCTTCAGCACATAGCTGTCAGGAAGTGAACTAAAGTGCTTTTGAATACCATGTTGTTTACTGAGAAAATTGTCAACTAAAAAGCCATTTTGTAAAGGTTTCTCTCCCTAGTCTTTTTTTTTTGTTGTATTAAGCCCTAATTTTCTGTGATCTAGAGAGTTTGAAACACACCTATTCAAATGAACATAGCCAGAGGTGCACTAGTGCAGCTATACATCATTACACAGGCAAGACTCACAGCCTGGGGTCCACAGTACACATACACATGGACCAAAGACGAAGATTCAGAGCAACACTCATAACCACACACACACACACACATGTAAATACAGCGAGATGCACACAGCCTCACACACATACACAAACAGATGCATGTACACTTGAGGACGCACAAACACCTTCATTTAGGGGTCTTTGATGTGGCGGCTACATGATGAGGATGATGATGAAAGCACTGTTATATTATGCAGCTTGCTGCCATTATCCAACACTACAAACAGAGCCAGACCATGGCCCGTCTTCCTCCACAATACCAGCAGTAAATATACATGTAATTGCCCAGCAGCAATTATCAGGCAAAATTAGATCAGTAATTACAGAGGTGAATTTAAACCCGAGTCTTATTAGAAGCATCAGGGTTGTTTCAATACACGACCAGAGAGGGGCAATTAAAGACGAGCCGCCGTGCAGATGGACAAATGTGCCATTCTGATAAAGAGTGTCTTCTATAAAGAAGTGCACTACAAATCAGAAAGACAGCAACAACTATTAGACACCAAGTAGAGCTGGACCTGACCGAGGGATTTAGAGAGAAATAAAATAGGTGAAAGAGCCAAGGAGACTGATGCAAATTTGGGGATTGTTTGAGTGTTGAGTGTCATAAAAGATGACCTCTCGAACGTCCTTAAGGGCCATTCAAGCGTTTTTGCTTGTAAAAATGTGAGACACAGGCAGTGGAATGGGGAAAAAAAAGAGCAAAGCCTCAAAACAAGTTTTTAAAAAGCTGAACTTATTTTAACTCAAGTGTCTCATTTTTAGAACACTGTGTCAGGCACAAGATACTGCAAAAGACGCAAGATGTGAGTGCAACAGTCAAACATGTCCGTCTAGCATAGAAAAACAATGGAAATAGTGCAGTAGAATGGAAAAATGCATTCTTTCTGAACGGATTCTTAGATCTGCTAATTTAGGGAATGAATCATCTGAGGTTTGCTGAGGTACAGTCACTTAGATCAGATATTTTGGTTTTCTTGCCATTCTAATTTTTTTTTTTACTAGAAAAAACACTACGGATGTCCTGATGGCCCAGATGTGAACGTGTAAAGCTGCTGTTGAGTGAGCACACAACGAATAAATCAAAATACAGCACAATGGAATTGGAAAGAATGTGGGGTTCTTAAGTTTTAAAAATTACAAATTAAAACTAGACCGCCAGACTGTCATTACCAGCATCCTCTCGAAGCCAAAGTGGTCAGATTATTAGATCAACTACCTGTGACCATCCTGAATTTCTCCCATATGTGACCCTGGACCACAAAACCAGTCTTAAGTCGCTGGGGTATATTTGTAGCAATAGCCAAAAATACATTGTGTGGGTCAAAATTATAGATTTTTCTTTTATGCTAAAAATCATTAGGATATTAAGTAAAGATCATGTTTGTAGGGTATCAGACCGAATCTGACAATTTAAGATTTGATAAAGAACAGCTGAAACACGAGGAGCCGAATTCCACAGAGAGGCCCAAGACACAGGATGTTCGTAAATCAGATCCTGGCGCCACAAGCCTGAACCAACTAGCAGCTTTGAGTAGCTCACAGCATTTAAACAAAAGAACACTTATTGACAATTCCAAGGAGATTGTCAATTTTGGGGCAAGTAATCAAGATTAATGGTCAGAGATGCACAGCATGACCATCACATTTAAACCAGTGACGATCACGAGCTCTTTGGATTGACTTCCCCCACCTCGACGACAAAGAACAGACCGAGATTCCTTACAGACCTTTTAACTAGGGATGCCCGATACTGATATGCATTGCTAAGAACTTCATTTGGACAACGTTAAAGGTGATTTCCCTCAGTATTTTGATTTTTTTTGCACCCTCAGATTCCAGATTTTCAAATAGTTGTATCTCGGCCAAATATTGTCCTATCCTAACAAACCATACATCAATGGAAAACTGATTTATTAGCTTTCTCAATTAAAAAAAAATGACCCTTATGACTGGTTTTGTGGTCCAGGGTCACATATGATTCATGACACTTTTATTTCCTTCTAGTGACTTTTCAACATTACTGATGGTAAACTCAAATTTAATGGGTCTCAGATTGTACATTCACATCACATATACTTTCCCATTTTTCTAATTGACTGGCCTTGATGTCCTCCTTGAGCAGATATCCTCTTTATTCTGCCTGTTTCTCATATTCTCTCAGGTATAGTTTCTAAATGTTCTCTTTTCTCCTGCTCTTTCAGTCCATCACATTCACTCTGCCTCTTTCTCGGTCTGTGCACTAGATTACTCTTTAAAGTAGGTCCTGGGGAGTACCCACAACTCCCGACTCAAGCTCTCTCTCACTGTCTCTCTCCGAAGGTTGTAAATCAGTGGCAGTGAGTAATAAGGCCTTGGTCAGCTGAATGCAGTCGGCAGCGGCGGCGCACTCTTTGGCCTGAGGGGGACGGAGCGAAGGGCACGGCAGAAAATAGTTTGAGTGATGCCTCTGCCGGATGAGTAATGAACAGTTCAAGCAGGTCAACTCATTACACGAGCGGCCGTTTAATTATTAATTACGTGCAGCAATCTATAGCAGAAAGGACACGTTCTGTATGTTTTAATGTGTGTTTATGCTTCCCTCTCCTTCATCTCTCTGTGGCGTTCTGTTATTAGCATGTGTCAGTGAGTAGCTCAGGCAGAGAAGAGAAGGGAGAGGCTCCCCCACACACACACAATTAACACAATTACTTATTAATTACTCACATAGCAGTGGAAAGTGCATTTAAATGTTGGAGTTACCATGGCCTACAGGCTTTAACTAAA